GGGCTCAGCCTTGCTGTCCTCCTGCCTCAGCCTTGCAGAGTGCTGGAATTGTAGGTGTGTGCCATCACATCGCTCACCCACTGTCCTGGTGAAGTGTGGCAGATGGCTTCCGTCTCAAGGGAGGCTGTGAAAGTGGCGTACGGAGCCGCGGGTTCCTGGCGCAGGTCTGACATGCTGTACACACTTTCCTGTCGCGGTGCATCCTCTGCAGCATTGCTTGTCAGGTGTTTATCGTCCTCCCCTGCGTCTCTGCCTAAAGCCGCTGTGTTATCCAGGGCTGTGGAAATCTAGGAGCTTAGCTTGTTGCATTACTATACACCATGAGAAAACCGTTGGCTTCATGAGAATTCCTTTAGCTTTTTTCCGATATTCACAAAGCACCCTTAGTTGCTGTGCATATAACATACTGCTCTGATTCCTTCGCTGCATTAGCTTCCCAGGGTTGCTGTAGCAAATTATCACAGACTGGGTGCCGTACAACCACAGACAAGGTGGCCGTGGCGATGCACACCTGTCGTCCCAACACTCAGGAGGCTGAGGCAGGATGACCGTGGTGAGTTTGAGGCCAGCCTGGCTACATAAATGAGTTCAAGGCCAGCTTGGACAACATAGGAGACTCTGCCTCATCAAAAAAAACCAGAAAACCCACACACACATAGACATTGAGGCAGGCATGGTAGCACAGGCTATAATCCCAGCACTTGACAGGCTGGGCCAGGGTGGGCTACATAGTGAGTTCAAGGCCAGCCTGGACAACACAGTGAGACCCTGTCTCAAAACCACAACCTAAGAAACCCAGCCATTTATTCTGTCCTCGTCCTAGAGGCCACAGTTGAAGGTGCGAGTGGGCTGTGATCCCTGCAGGGCTGTAAGGCAGGAGCCGTCTTTGCCTTCCAGCCGTTGGTGACATCTGGTAATCCCAGGGGCTGCTCCACAGACTGCCTCTGCACCCTCGGCCTCTGTCTCCGTGGCTCCCTCCCTTCTGGGTTCGCTGCACCACACTTCCCTGTGCGTATAAGGACACCCAGCCGCTGGGCCAGGGCCCATCCAGTCTATGTGACCCCGTTTTAACTTGATTAATGTGCAAAGAGCCAATCTCCTGGGTCAGATGGTGTGTTTTCCATGACTCTTACAGTCTTTTGGGGGGACATGGTTGACCCACACTACTTGCTTGCTGATTGACCCTGTATCCTCCTGTAGGTCAGGCAGGCTCTGAACAGATACATGTAAAATCAAGTTACATTATGAGAGCTTTTCTTTTCCCCTTGGGTTAATAATTTGCTTTCCCCGTGGTTTCAAAAACAATGTATTGAAGTATCTTGCTGGGGTAATACTCAATACTGACTTTTTGCTTTTGGGGGGAAAGAACCTTGTATAGGAAGAAAGTGTGTCCTAGTGAGTAGAGAAAGTACTGGAAAAGTAGATGGGAAGGCAAGAGTTAAAAGGGCTGCAACTCCTGCAGACTGTTTGCAGCTTGCTTTATGACCTGGGTGTGCGCTGGCCGTTGAGTTGATAGCAGCGCCCTGGGGAGGCTGTGCTTGGACCTGCGGGCTTCTGGCGTGGCCAGGTAGGCCGATCATCGTGTTTCAGAGGCAGCAGCGACTGCAGAACATGGATGTGGTGAACTGCCTGTTCCTTCAGTGTGTCTGCGGGCCAACCCTGCCCATGGCCGAGCCTGAGGTAGGTGTTTGTTGGTGCATATGTTTGTAGTTCCAGGAGTAATCACAAACTACACAGCCCGAAATAAACTTAGGCTGTGTTTCTGAAGTACGTGTACTTTACTTAAAAAAATTTTTTTACAGCCCGATGTGGTAGCACATGCTCATAATCCCAGCACCCTGTGAGACCGAGGCAAGAGGATGGCAAGTTCCAGTCCAGCCTGGGCTACTTAGCAACTTCGTGAGACCCTGTTTTAAAATAAAAAATGGGGCAGTGGTATAGCTCAGCACTGAAGGCCCTGCGTTCAAATCCCCAGTACTGCACCTTCCAAAAAAAAGAAAGAAAGAAAATAGAATACCCATTCGTGTTCAGATTTGTTTTCACAGAGGATTTAATTTGCTGTCTAAAACCAGTGTTCGAATATAAGTGTAAACCTCAGTGTCGCCATCCTTTCCTCTGCACCTTAGCTGGAAGTAGAGTGGACAGTTCATTTCAATTTTGCGTGTGTCTGTTTCCCACTTCCTGTGCTTCTGAGAACATGCCGTGCTGCGGCACAGTGAGGAGAGCTGTACCAACACCGACGGGCAGATGGTAGTTTTGTTAGTGTGTTCCCAGTGCATGGACAGGGGTGCGTTGGAGGGATAGCCCTGCGCCCTTCTGGCACTTCCTGTAGCCCTTCCGGAGCATTTCCTTATTCTTAGCATCAGCCAGAGAAACAGGCTGCGTTGCGTAAGTGCAAAAACAAAACTGAGTCTTCCAGCCACAAGGAAAAAAAATAAAAACTACAGAAAATCACATACAGGGGCTGGGGCTATAGCTCAGGGGCGCAAGTGCCTGCCTGGCAAGTGTAAGGTCCTGAGTTCGATTCCTGGTACCAAAACCAAACAAACAAAAAAACAAAATAAAAAACCCTCCCACAGGTTTGTGAGTAGTTAGAGTGTCCCTTGGCTCTGGCTTCGTGGTACAGGGCCAGAGCACAAATGGATTTGTTCTCACTATTTACTTAGGCTGGTTCATTTGTTCTGGTAGTTTGTGTCAACCATCCACAATTATCTGTTCTTCATGTATTATTCAGAAAATAATTATAACTTCTCAGGATTTCTCCTGTTTTTCCATGGTAGCAATGTTGGGAAGAAAATTGTATCCTCTTTAGGTTTAGGTCTTGGGGACCTGTGAATTAAACTGATAAAAGACAGAAGCTGTAGCTCAGCGGTAACGCCTGTGATGTGTGCAGGACACTACGTTCCATCCTCAGAGCCACGAAACAAAAAAAAGACAGGGAGCAAAGGAAAAAGATGAGTGTGCGCGTGCGCATAGCAGGTGTGCAGGAGTTTACAGGGAGATGGGACTCGGGTGACTAGAGTGTAGTTTCATTTATTATAGAGAACCTGGAGAGGGGAAGGGAAGTCGGGGAGAAGCCAGCGTCTTCGGAAAGCTGAGGGCTCTCGGGAGAGCAGATGGGGAGCGGCGGTTTTGTGGCGCTGTCTGCCAAGGTGTGGGTTCTCTGGCGGCAGGCGGGAAACTCCCAGGAGATTTATGACGTTGGAGTTTTGGGGGAGGTTCTGGTTTTATGCGGGTTACAGAGTTGGTGTGTGTCCGGGGAGCCCATTCTCAAATGCCTGAGGCGCCACATAATTTTCATGCTGCAGCCATGCAGTCCGAGGTGGGGGAGGTGGGGTGAGCTGTAACCCCTGCACGCTGGGAGGTGGAGGCAGGAGGATGGCAAATTCAAGCCAACCCGGGCAGCTGAGCAACTGCCTCAAAAAACAGAAGAATTGAGGGGAAAACCCCGTAGTATAATCTGGACCCCTGCTGCAGTGAAGGCAGCGTTCCAGGGAGCGGGAATCAGCACAGACGCGCACACTGCTGTGCCCCCTTGGGTGCCCTTGCTGACATTCATCGGCGGTGACCCTGGGCAGGTCACCTTGCACTTGAGTCTCGATCCTAATGTGGACGTGGAGCCGGCTGAAGTGGAAGTGGATGCCCGAGCCCCTCCCCGCGCTGGGCTCTGTACCGCGTCCTCCGTGCTGCGTGCTCTCCCACATGTGCGAGGCAGGTGTGCTGCCCTGATCTACGCTCTCCCTCGAGGAGGTGATCTTCATAAACGTTCTGACAGGGTGACTGGCTGCCGTCCTTTAACTTGGCTCAGGCCCCGCCAGGCTGGGGTAGGGAGCGGCTGCCCGGGCCATCCTGTGCTGTCTGCTCTGCTGGCACACACTGCTTTTGGCATGGATGCCTTGCCTTCTCTGGCATCCACATTGTCCTCCCTGCGCCTGGCTGGGCAGCCCTTTTGTTTTTACTTGAAAGAGTGGGTGAGGGTGGAAAGAGTGCAGGCATTCAGCGGAGCTCTGACACACCCTCTCTCGGGCCAGACTCCGAAGGGCCTGCTGGAGCCAGCCCCTGCCTATCTGCAGAGTGACGGCTCACTCCTGTTGATAAGGCCTAGCCCAGCTCTCTGGCCTGTGAACAGTTGCAGAACTGATGGGAGGGGGGTAATCTGCCTGTCATTGCAGGGCCAGCGATGGCCCCGGCGGGAGTGAGTGACAGAAGTCTGCCCCTTTCTAACCTCGGGTGTTGTCCTCGTCTGTTGGGTCACCTCTGAGAGAACAGTTTGGAACATTGGATGGGGCTTGGGGTTCGGTGACACAGCCCTTGCCTAGCGCGTGCTGTACCCTAGGTGGCCTCCCCAGCAGCTCCCCCACGCAGAAAGCGTCCTGCCTGAGAACCTGAGCTGTGAGCTGGGTCCAGTCAGAAATCAGATCCAGAGGGCATAGTTGAGCTCTGACTGAGCCCACACGGCTCGTTGGTAGCCTCATCCAGTTCTCCGGCCGCCAGTTCTGCAGCCCCTTGAGCTTGAGCCCCACCAGCTCTGGATTCAATCTTCCAGCGCCTTCTATTCTCAAGTAGCAAACCTTATAGAAAGAGAATACTGTGGGCAGCCCTGGGTCTTGTCACGCGCTGCCCGCAGCCCTGCAGCTCCCCGCGGTGTTTTAGCAGCCACAGTTTTGAGTGCATTTTGACAGCCCAGCAGTGGTGCTGGTTTCCTTCAGGTCTCTTATCGTAGCTCATCACTGACCAGCAAACATAACCCCTTAAACTTGGGTTTCTGGTCAGCCTGGAAAGAAAGATGGACTTGGTTCTGTATCCATGTGTCAGTTATGTCCTCGTTGTCAGTTGCACAAATGAGCATTTCAGGTAAAGGAATAAATCAAGAAAGTCTGAAAAAAATTAGGAAACATAAAAAGAGAATCCCAGGTGGGCCCGGGAGCGGGGCAGGCGGCCGTTCTTCACCCCCTCCTGCCTGCATCTTGACGCTCACCTGACCTGTTCGGTTTGGAAAGGTGACTGCTGAACCCTGGAGGCCAGGCTCGTCCCAGGAGGAGGAGAGGACCGAGGCAGCCAGGATCTCCAGGAGGAAGTGGGGTTCCGGGAGGAGGACCAGACCACGGCCGCTGTCCGACTACGGCCAGCTGGCCAGCCGCAGCTCATCCATTCCCGAAGACTCTGAGGCGGTGCACCCGCAGGGCGAGGACCATGTGGACGGGCCGCCCCCCACAAGCATGGCCTCCACCAGCCCTGCAGACCAGACGTCAGCCGGCTGCCCGCGAGGAGGCCGGAGAAGACGCCCCATTTCCGTGATCGGAGGGGTCAGCTTGTACGGCAGCACGCAGGCAGAGGAGATGGAGAGCCTTCTAAGCCAAGTAAGATCTGTGTGCCTGCACCGTGGCCAGCAAGGCCTGTCCAGGCCCTTGGCCTCTGCTCTCCTGCTCAGACTAAGCTGGAAGCTGCTCTGCTCTCGCTCCAGGATGACCTGCCTACTCGCAGCCTTTTCCTCCTGACCGAAAACATGCATGAGCTCAAAACTAACCACCTAACATCTGGACGCCTTCTCTAAGCTTTCTTTCCTGGCATCTCAGATTAGATGTGAAATAAGTTTGGTTCTTGCTTCTAAAAAACCTGTAATTTTTTCCAGGGGAAAGTTACAGGACATACTTAGTGAGCATCCTGAAACAAGTGAGTCTTTAACCCAGACTGGCTCATGGTTAAAACGTGAAGATAGGAAAATACCAGAGACGGGAGGGCTGGGGGTGTGGCTCCACGGCGGAGTGCTTGGTTAATATGCACAGCCCTGCATTCCATTCCCAGCACTGAAAATAAACGAGAGCGGTGAGGGAAAATGATTCCCTATCACCTAAGAAAATCGGTTTCCTCTCCTTTTTTATCGTGCTGGGGATCGAAGCCAGAGCCTCACGCATGCTAGGCGCTTTGCCACTGAGCTGCATCCCTGCATCCCGACATCCCCAGCTCCTCCCACTCACTCTCTCTCTCTCTCTCTCTCTCTCGCTCTCTCTCTCTCTCTCTCTCTCTCTCTCGCTCTCGCTCTCGCTCTCGCTCTCGCTCTCTCTCTCGCTCTCGCTCTCGCTCTCTCTCTCGCTCGCTCTCTCTCTCTTGCTCTCTCTCACTCTCTCTGAGTTGCAGTCTTGCAACTGGTTTGCTAATAAACATTTTCTCTTGGCCCCTTACTATATTTTAAATATTTATCAAGTGCCCAGTGAGCACTCTGAAGATGTGACACATTTAAATAAAGGCCGTGTTCTGGACAAGTTCATACTTTCTGTCAAGGCCAAAACCCCAGCTGTGCTCAGATAGTCACAGGACAGCCTATGGGAAGTATAAATGCCCAGGTCCATTGTAAACACTTGCTAGTGATGTCTTAACCTATAAAACTCTCTTAAAAGGGAAATTTCGTATTAGTCTTGGATTGCATGTTGACAGTCCTCCTGTAAAGCCCAGCACGATGCCTTGTTTGTAAAGAAGCACTCAAAACTTCTTGCTGAATTCAGAAGTTAAAGAATACCACAAAATCTTTAAGATTCTGTTGTTAAAGATGCTCAGTCTGGTAGGAAATAATTCTGAACTAAAGCAAATTATAATCTATTTTAAACTGGAAAACAATATATGGAATATCTAGAGCACTCAGAAAAGATTTCAGTTCAGAGCATCAAAAAGAAGTGCAGTGAAATAATGTTCTGCCCTGCAGTTTACCTTAAGGCCTTGGGTGGAAAGAATCTGTTAAACCCTGAGGAAAACATGAATCATGCAGATCCCTGATGAGTGGTTGTGGGGATCGTTAATAGGGAAAATCGGGAGGGCATTACTCAGAATTCCAAAGAGACTTCAGCAAATATGAGGAAAACCAAGTTTTTAATTGTTCTGCTAAATTTTTTGGGCACTGGAGATGAAACCAAGGCCTTGCACACACTAGGCCAGAGCGCTACCACTAAGTTACATGTCTAGCCCCCCACGTCAACTCTTGAACTCAAGGCAGTTCCACTAAGCTACATCTTTGGCCTTTTTTAATTTTTTATTTTGAGATAGGATCTTGCTAAGTCACTAAATCGACTGGGCAGACTGGGCTTGAATTTGTGATCCTCCAACCTCTTGGAATGCTGGGGTGTCAGGTGTGTACCATTACACACGGCCCAAAAATCAACTCTTTAAGGTGAAGCTCAGCTGGGCATGGTGCTGTATGTTGGTAATTCCAGCTCCTTGAGAGGCTGAGGCAGGAGGACTGCAAATTCCAGGCCTGTGTAGTCAATTTTGTGGGACCCTGTCTCAAAATAAAACAAAGGGCTGGAGATGTAGCTCATTGCTCCCTGGGTACAATCCCCCAAACAACAACAACAACACACACACACACACACACACACATACACACCCCAGCTCAGCTGTCCTGCTAGTTCTTCTCATCCAGAAGCCTGTGTGGGGCCCAAGTAGCTGAGGCTCTGCAGGAAACCAGGCTGAGGGGGCGCTAAGCAGTGCAGTCTGTTGCCGCCTGGGACTGGGCCCGTTCTCGCTTCCTCCAGAGGCTGCTCCCCGTCGGCCTCCTTACCCTGCCCCTGCGGCTGTGCAGGAACCCCCCTCTTTCGGGGCCTGCCTTCCCTCCACTCAGATGCTTCTCTGCTCGGTGCTGTCCGCTGCCGCGCCACCTGAACACGAGATGCGGCCACTGGCAACCGTTAGACGCTCCCCTCACTCTTTTCCTAACCCATCCCCGCCCAGCCCAGTGCAGCCTGCAGCTCTGGGCGGGCTCGGGAGCGGCCAGCTCACGGCTGCAAGTGGCTGCGAGGTGAGAGTGCTTTGCGGGTGGGTGTTGCTCGTGGGAGCTGCGACTTCCTGGCACCCACTCACACTCTGTGCTTTCCTTCCGCAGCCTGCAGCCAGGCCTCCTGTGCCCTCGCACCAGGTGCCACCCTACAAGGCGGTGTCAGCCCGGCTGCAGCCCTTCAGCTTTTCGCGGAGCACCCCCATCGGGCTGGACCGTGTGGGCCGCCGGCGGCAGATGCGAGCGTCCAACGGTGAGTCCGCGGGCAGGCGGGTGGCGGTGCGGCCTCTGCTGGCCCCACCTGCCTGACTGGAACGGGCCTGAGGTGTCCGGGTGGCCGGCACTCTCCTCACTGTGTGGACCCGCGGGCTCATTGCAGCAGGAGGGGTGTCATCCCTCTGGGGCAGGTGCTCGGGCTGTGAGCTGCAGCCCCATGGTGCCTGTGTACCTGGCCTGCTGGGAGGGCTAATCCAGTAAGAAACCGGCTCGGGCTCGAAATCCCAGAGCGCAGCAGCAGAGCTGGTTTCCTACAGCGCGGTGGGGATGAAGCTGCGCCAGGGCGCTCCTGGCCTGCCGTAGCTCAGGCCTTCCGTGGCTGGTCCATCGTCCCCTCGGCTCTGCCTTCCTGCTTGCATGGTGCCGCTCTGCGTGTGTCTGTCTCAGTCCAGACTTTGTCCTTCCGTAAGGACGCCCCTTGTTGGATCTAGACTTCATCTCAACTCCATCACCTGTAGAGAGCATTCCCAAAGAAGGTCACGTTCACGGGCTTGGGTGAAGGACCTCACCATCTTTTCGGAGAACAGAATTCGTCCAGGAGCATAGACTGAGACTGCCTCGATGAGCAGCATACACACACGGTGAAAGATGAGTGAAGAGCAGTAGAATGGAGATAGTGTCAGCAGGGTGTCGGGAAGGCTGTGGATTTCTCCTCCAACCCTACACACACGCACATAGCCCGTTTGAGTGACAGCAGAGCTTGCAGAGCTTTCAGCGATCCAGCCCGCTGCAGCACGCATGCCGTAGGCTCACCACCACTGACCTATTATAACACTGTGTATGTACGTATGTATTTATACCTACGGAACCGGGGACTGAACTACTCCCCCAGCCTCTTCTTCATTTTGAGGTAGGAATTTGTGAAGTTATCCAGACAGGGCAGGGACTCATGATCTGCCTCAGCCTCAGAGTACTGCAGTCAGGTGCGCACCACCACGCCCAGCTGGGGTCTGAGTTGTGGCTAGCTTGACTGGGGGAGGATACATTGCAGGGTGTCTGTGCTCCTGAGGGGTGGCTGACACAGTGGCCATTGGGCTACTCGGGGCGGAGGCCCACAGCAGACATGCAGGACAGGACTGGCCACCACACCCCATGGGAACAAGAAGGGCCAGCCTGCCCCACACTGGTCGCCAGACCCAGCGATCCTGGGCGGAGGACTTGGCTCTCGGAGCTCAAGTGGCAATGGAGGAGGGGCAGGACGGGCCCCCTCCAGGCCCCCTCGCTTCTCTTTCCAGCAGGTGTTAGGGTTCCCTGTTGACGGGGGCTGAGGACGCAGAGGCCGGGAAGCCCTGCTGGTGTTCGGGTGGGAGCAGGTCTTGAGTACGCACTCCTTCGCTCACACACTCACAGTGAGTGCTTGCCACTGAGCAGGTGGTAGCTGATCCAAGCTCCTTCAGTCACTTACACTCGTGGGAGGAGAATAAGTTATCCAGGATGTGACGGGGCAAGCAGGGCTGTAAAGGGAAATAAAGCAGGCTGGAAAGCCCTCGTTTCCGGCTGAGTGCCACTCACACGGTGCCCTTCCCGCGGCGTCACAGAAGACCCTGTCCTTCCTTCCCTAGAGACCCTCCAGGGGCTCATCAGTTGTAGCAGACCCCTCCAGTCGTAGGGCCTCCAAGCATAATTCTTCCTCCGCTGTCACACAGCCTTGAGTGTTTCTGCCCCCATAAATTGCAGCAACACCAACCACAGTCGGCAGTGGGGAGGGGGAGGACGTACAATGGGACAGACTTACGCTAGCGCCCAGGCAAGGCGCATGCAGCCCGCCAGCTGGGCTCCAGGCAGGCGCAGAGGCGACTGGAGTGGGGAGCAAGGGCTGAGCAGGAGACGGCAAGGCAGGCCCTGGGGGAGGAAGGATGCTGAGCACCGGGGGCCGGCAGAGAGCGGGAAGGTGGTGTGTCCGAGGCCCAGACCCCGGGCAGGGGGGACTGCAGGCAGGGAGCCAGGCCGTGGCCGCGCGGACAGGCAGGGCGTCATGGGCAGTGCCGAGAGCCTGGGGGCTCTGAGTTTGCTGCCCAGAGAAGAGACTGGCGAGGCAGCTGTTGCCAAGTCTGGGTGAGGCGCCGTGGCGGCAGTGAGCCCGAGGCCACCCCCGCTTCCCTGGGGTGCTGCTCCCCGGGAGTGAGAGAGGCCGCTCGGGCAGCCTGGGTCAGTCAGCGGCTCTCCGGTGGGCGCTGGGCGGGAAGAGTGTTTCGTAAGGGAGTGAGGCAACCGAGGAGCCGCTTCTGCGTTCGCCTGCGGTTTCCGCTGTGGGCGAGCGGCAGCCAGCAACTTAGTCACAGGCTGGGAGCGTGCGCCCAGGCTGTCTCTGCAGCTGCCCGTGTCAGCCTCGCGGGGCGTGAAGCCGTCCCGGGGAGGTCCCGGAGGGGCCGCACTGAGGAAGCCTACGCAGCACAAGGGGCGCCAAGCGACGACCCGCTGCCCCCTCTGTTACGAAGAGGGCGCGTGTAACCAGCTTTCCCCTGCTGGGTCCCATAGAGCCGTCGGTTAGCTTTGTAGAGGGGAACTTGCTGGGGTTTGGCCCGGCCTCAGCAACCACCTCTGCCTCTGTGTGGCATTTGTAGTTGGGGTGGTTTTCTGGGGGTTTTGTTGTTGGCTTGTTTTTGATTTTGTGCGACAGGGTCTCAGTATGTAGTTTGGGCTGGTCTTGAACTCACTGGGTACCCTAGGCTGGCCTGGAGCTCGGGGGGATCCTCTGCCTCAGCCTCCCGAGTGCTGGGATTGCAGGCTGTGCCACCCACCCCAGTGTTGTTTTGTCTTGAGACACGGTTTTACTACGTAATTCAGGCTGGTCTTGAATTCACGCTATAGTGTAGGCTGCCCTCAAACTTGAGATCTTCCTGCCTGAGCCTCCTATTTCTTTCATTTTGCTTTGATTTAATGAATCCACTGAGCAAATCGTCAAGGTAAAGACAGAGATTAAATGATATCTGCATGATAGATTCTGATGTTTACTAGTTTATATATGTATTTATGCATTTATTTATGAGAGGCTGGGGACAGAACCTGGGACCTTGTACATGCCAGACAGGTGCTCCACCACGGAGCCATACTCCCAGACCAGAGGGAGACAGATAGTTCTCCAATGGGAAGGAGGTCAAGAGATGGGGCCAGCTCGGGGCAGGGTGAAAGGGAATTCAGACGTGTTGTGCACATGCATGAACTCCACACGGGGAATGCAGACGTGCACCGCAACGCACACAGCCGAGATTTAAAATAACCCCTCTTGCAATCATGATTCACAAGGGCTGTTTGACTTCTCCTGCTTTGAGTGTCTGCAGACACATGCAGTCACACCCCTGCCCCAAACCAAGCCTATCCGTGTTAGCTTTCCACACTGCTGCAAGCCGCACGAAGCCCTTGCTGAGGCCAGGCTCTTGGTACATGATTGTAATCCCAGCACTCCAGGGAGCTGAGGCGGGTGGATCAAAGTTTGAGCCCAGCCTGGGGAATTTAATGACTCAGCAAGACCCTGTCTTAAAATGAAAATCGAAAAAAGCAAAAGGGCGTGGAAGGCAGCTCAGGTGAAGGCCCTGTGTTCAGTATTAGCCCACTGTTCACCTGCTGCCCCTGGGGTTTTCCCTGCCTTGGGGCACCGGCACCCGGTAAGCGATGGAGGGTCCCTGGGCCCCTTGCGGAGGCCGGGAAGGAGACTCGTAATGATCAGACACCTGCCCTAAGGTGACCTAGCTTCCACTTCAATCTCTGAGTCCAAGAGCTGAGCAAGGGCCCTGGGTTTCACTGTCCCGCGGCCCGTCAGGTGCTCCTGACCCAGCCTGGAGAGGTCCTGAGTCACAGGCCGGTCAGCACTTTAATCCCCACCCCCACCCCCACCCCCGTCTTGTTCCTGAGGCCCCGAGGTAAGTTAGGCACGAATAGCAGTCTTGTGGATCAAATCATTCTGGTAACTGAGCTGGCCTGCTGCCTCAGAGGCGCAGTGTCCCAGCCCCACTGAAGCCAGGAAGGGCTAGCAGCACATTGCCTGTAGACGGCATCGCCACCTTCATCTTCTTGAGGGGACGGGGTGGGCTGGTAAGACAGAGATGGACTTCTCCAGCTGCTGTCTCCTCCCATTTCAAGGGGTTTTGTGCATATCTGCCAAGGGCTAGAACAGCCTCACAAGTTGAATACAAAATGGACTCTAGGGCCCACCAAGTGGATACATTTGCTTGTGTTTAGTAATGTAACATGTGAACCTTGTCGGAGGCCGAGGATGTAGCTCCATGTCAGTTGCTTACCTAGCACGTGTGAGGCATTGGATGGCATCCCCACCGCTGCAGATAGTCATTATTTTTTTTTAAGGCAAGTGGAGGGGCTGGGGATTTAGCTCAGCAACACAGCGCCTGCCTGGCAAGCACGAGGTTGTGAGTTCGATTCCCAGTACCGGAAAAAAAAAAAAAGGGCAAGTGGAGAACTTTTCATAACAACCAAGTATTTGGAGACATGAAAGAATTATTAAATTTATTAGTTGGGATAATGACAATGCAACTAATTTTAGGTTCTTACTTGTTTGAAATCTATATTAAAATATAATCTGCGTAAAATAAGAGATTTATTTCAAAATACTCCAGAAACATTGGGGGGAGATCGTTGAAACAAATTTGATGAAGTATGTGCATCATAGTAACTCCTCTGCTTTTATGTGCGAAATTTTCTGCAGTAAAAAGTTTTGAAAGATAATAGCAGTCCCTGGCTTCCTTCCTGGTCACGTGTTCTCCAGATCTGCAGATCAACAAGCACCGGGGCTGAGGATGTAGCTCAGTGATAGAGCCGACACTTAGCATGTTCAAGGCCCTGGGTTCAATCCCCAGCAGCACAAAAAGGGAGGGAAGAAAGAAGGACCCACAACTGCCCTCTCCCCAAAATACAGAAAATAGAACATTAGCTGTTAAATTTTTTTTTCAAGAAACGGAAGCCCACTCACTTTTAAGGAAGTAAGCTCTTCCTTCTGCAAACTTTGGGACACCTGTGTGTCCT